TCGTCTGTCTTTTGGTTGTCAAGAAAGTGGAAAACAAGGCGTAACGAAAAATCAATTTTGTTTTTTTTACTTATAGAAATCACCTTTGATCGGCCTCTAAACAATAAATAGTGTTTTTCTACCACTATTGCTATCTTTATATCTTTTAAATTTTAACTAAAGGAAATAAACAAATACGATAGCGAAATAAGTCATTAACCATGGGTTTCTGATACCAAAATCTCTGTATAAAACATATCGTCATCCTTGTCATTATCTTTGACAACAGAGAGATAACAATTTTAAGACGCAGATTTATGACTCGGAAACACACAGTAAGACCAATAAACCGTTGCTTTCTAAGAGATATAATACATATCGTCATCCCCGTCATCTTTGACAAAACAAACAATCTTACTTCTTACTTACATTATAAATGCGAATGTTTAGATGGATATATGTTTATTAGAAGATATCTCTAGAATGCCTCAACGAATCTAGCTAAAATTTGGCATTGATGTAGAACATAGTCTACAAGAACGCGTAGGCTACTAATAAAGTTTTTCCTTAATTCCGTGCGGACGGAGTCGCAGGCTACAGCTACGCTACGGTAGGTATACGTCATAGTCAAGCGCTTTCATTCTATACAAAAATATTTCAGTAAAGCAAATTGAAATGAACAAATCGATTATATCTTCTTAATAACTAAGACATGCTACTTCGGGGTAACGTCCTAGACAATGACAATATTTATTGCAATTAAAGCGAAAGGAAGGACGCGTACAACGCGACTAGAAAGTAAGAGTACAATTTCACGGTACGGGAGCGCACGCGCGCTATGAACTTAAGGTCTGATGATCACTATGTATGGACAGCAAAATAAGTCACAAGACTGCTATTCGTCAATTGAATTTGACATATTCTTTCGCTGTTATTGGATCAATCGCCTTCGTTTTATCATCATCAATTATGTCTAAATTAGGACGAGATTTTTAGTGTACTTTAAGTTTGATAATCATCATCAGCTTACTATACGTCCCCACTGACTTAAGTCACGGGTGACGAGGCCATAGTCAACCACGCTGGCCAAGTGCGGGTTGGTTGACTTCACGTATATCATTGAATTTCTTCTCAGATATGTGCAGGTTGCATCACAATGTTCCTTTACATTAAGAACGTCGGATAAATGTGCATATGTAAATCGAAAATTGAAAAACACATTGGTACATGGCGGGATTCGAAACCAGGACATGCAGATAGCAAGTCAAGTGCTTGACCCCTGAGCCACCGACGTTCTTTCGACGACGCACACGTTTGATAATGCGCTGTACAAATTTGGAGCGAATGCAATTCGTACACTAGACAATACTCTATGTCAGTAGAATTTGCGATTTAATATCCCCCCTAGACTCTAGGGGATAGTCCAATTCCTTTTAAGCGGATGAAGTCGCTCTAATGTGGAAATGAAGTTTAAACCTCCTCCAGATACCCACTCATATGACGCTGAACATTAATTTGATTGTAGACGCTTTTTTTATTCGGTAGTCAAAACATAGCATTTGTTGTAACTATTGGCACGTACGTGCAGGTTGTATAAAGGAGAGGGGCGAGGGGGGGAAGGCTCTATTTATATAAATACTCAAAAATATTTCAAACCTTTTGTATTATAAACAAAATGCATACTAGGTCAAATTTTTTATTGCATTAAATAGTTCTATTCATCCATTCAAGCTTAAATATATTTTTTAAAAACATGAAATAGTCGAATTGATAACCTTAAGCAGGAGATTACTTTTATTTTTTAACTAGCCATACCCCGCGAGTCCGTCCGCGCTGAATTAAAGAAACATAATTAGTCTATGTGTTCTTCCAGACTATGTTCTATATGTATGCCAAATTTCATCGAGATCTGTTCAGCTGTTCTGGAGATACCTTCAAACAAACATCCATCTCAACATTCGCATTTATTTTAGTAAAATTAAATAAGTGTTATTTTTAATTTCTATATTTTTTTGTTTAGCTGTTTTTTGCTGCTATTACTGTAGATTGTAGGCGACGCATGCGCGCACAGATCTCGCCGAAATTGTCCTCGCACAATTTCCCGCCACTTTCCACGCTCCCCGTGACTCCGTGCTTATCGTTGTGCAACTAACAAGTGCATGTGGTAATTCTATTAGCTAACACCGAACTTGATGACGATTCACTGATTACGTAAATACTAAACAGAAATAAACAGTTACATTTAAAAAAACTAAAAAAAAATTATACTGGTGTTAATTGCTGAAATAATATTATAATTTCTTGTGTTAAAAAAAAGAAAGACGATAAAATATTAATTTCTTATTTTGGTTAGCTAAATTGTTTTTCAGAAAAATTGCTATTTTTTTCTGTACCAATCGCTATTTAAAAACCGATTTATTTAAATCTTTTTTTAACTACCCTTACATTATAAATGCGAAAATAACTCTGTGTGTCTGTCTGTTATTCTTTCAGGAAAAACTAATTTACCGATTTAAATGTTATTTGGTACACAGTTAGTTCATAGCCTAAGAAAGGAAATAGGCTTCTTTTTAACGCGAAAAAAAAGGTTGTAAGAGGTAGAAATTTCTATAGGAATAGCGTCATTTTTCCAGTTAGATGCTTGAAAGTTATTTTTCCAACAGTTAATTAAATTGATATCATCATCATCAGCTCACTATACGTCCCTGCCAAGGGACTCGGAGCCTACCCTAAGTTAAGGGTGATTAGGCCATAGTCAACCATGCTGGTCATGTGCGGGTTGGTTAACTTCGCACATATCTTTGAATTTTTTCATAGACATGTGCAGGTTGCATCACAATGTCTTCCTGCACCGTAAGAACTTCGGGTAAATGTACATATGTAATCGGAAATCGAAAAACACATTGGTACATGGCGGGATTCGTACCTAGGACCTGCCGATTGCAAGTCAAGTGCTTGACCCCTGACCCACCGACGCTCTCGGTCAAAAACTAAGTTGATATAAATAAATATAACATTCAATGTATATAAAAAATCAAGGGTGCAAAATAAGTAGCTTAAATAATCCAAATACAGTATTTCACGCGGACGAAGTCACAGGCACAATTAGTTCATAATTATTTTTTTGTGTAGCAATTTATTATTTTTTAAAATATTTGTCTGTCCGTCTGTCCCTCTGTCTGCATGTTCCGCCTAATCTCTGAAATCGATGGACCTATTTTGACGGAATTTTTATAGGTAGCTAATTTAATATGGAGTAACTTAGGCTAAGTTTATTTTAGAGAAATAAAGTAATGTTGCATTATACAAGTACTGTACAGTACCGCGTGCAGCTTAAAGATTTCACGAAGATGAAGTTGTGGGCAAAGCTAGTAACTAAATAAAATCGAAAGCTATCATAATCCGCATAAATAACACTGTCGACAAGTAAAAAACGTTGAACGGAAGCGAAGGGTCGCGTCGGAAGGCGATATCCGGCATCCTGTTCACCCCTTTTTATTTAAACGCACTATTATAAAATTATTCGCTTGATTTCGTCGCGGCTCCTTGTAGTCAACGCGTTGAATTTAAATTGTCTTGTAATTCTTAAAGTCAAGGGTGGTCCATAATCCATAACAATATACGTAGTTTAATAATTTGTTTACCAATATAATAGGCATTTTATATATATAATTCTCGTGTCACGTGTTAGTATGTTATTCTATTTATTAATCCCGCGCGGACGAAAGCTAGTTGTAATATAAGTTCGGTATAATTTATATTGTTGACAGTGTCGTTGCGCCTCTAAAGTATTTTAAAATCCAAAGTCCTAAATACAAACCGATCTAAATAGATTTCTAGATAATTGTTATTTCTCGACTTCACGTATACCCTACTATATTGCGATAAGATTTTACAAATCCACGAGATTTCCACTAACTTGGTCTTTGATTCGTATAAGCGGGCAGTTCTCTAATACAGACAATATATTTGTAAAAACGTAGGTAAGGCACGCCATCTAGCGACACATATTACTACTGCGTATATTATAGTTCATTTTTTTCAATTCAATATCTTGAACTATGGTTTTTGAGCATACATATAATTAATTTGGTAACAATTTACCTTCACAGAAGAAAACATTTTTTTCTGCTCTTCTGTATTTTTTAGCAACCACCTACAGTTAATTAATAGCAAAGTTTCAAAACGAAAATTCGTCTCATCATTATTACTATTCATAGAAAAATATTTTCAAATATCAATTGTTTTTGGACATTGTAGATTAAAAAGTAAAGAAAATTATATGTTATACATTTCGTTCCTAAATCATGTCAGATTTAAATGAAAATTCGGCCACAAAACGTGTTTGTTGTGTATTTTTAACCTAAATTTTGTTTATTCCTTTTTTAAAGTTGGGTCTAACTAGAAATAAAACACAATACACATTTGT